CCCCAGACCAAGAAAGTTTAAGAGATTTGATAGGTACTACTCATATCACAAGGTGCACCTTCTTTTCCGGAAGTCCATCGTTGGAAACTCCACAGTTAAGCGTGCTTGGTTTGGAGCAATTCTATGATGGGTGACCCCCCTGGGAAGTTTTCTCGGGGAGCATACGAGTGAGGACAAAGCATGCTGAAAAGACCCATGTTGGTACAGTGAGGACAGTACGTCGTCGATCTAACTGCCAGGACAGCCCGTTAAGTGGGACCTGAGTCGTTACAATGAATGATTAATTAATTTGATATGTGTGGTGATTAGTTGGTAAATAATTAAAGGGAGGAAAAGTTAAGAGAAATAGAGATACAAGAATAAATATAGAAGTTGAGGAATTACGTGGTGATTTGCATTAATTTACTTGTCAAGTTTTAATTTGAGTTATTATATCGTTATTTTAGATAGTGATGTGAAAGTTTGGAAATGCTCGTCAATTTAACAAGATCGCTATCCATAGATATGTGAGTGAAAAAACTTAAATAATTTCAAGTATTGATAAACTAATTATACCATTATGTTACGTGATATTATGTAAATTATTTCAACTACTATTATACGTTTTATGCAATTATGTAAATTATTTGTCCAATTACATGGTTATTGTGGAAATATTCTTTAATTATGATATATGTGAAATTTCAAAGATTGTATGTGTATTATTTGTGAATTAAAATTTGAGACATGTTTTATTGACCACTACTAGGGTATCGAGACATGCGATTGTGTTGGCCGCAAGTGAGACTTCTTGGATGATCGCTAGGGTAGTTAGAGGAAATTTTGGTAATCACGGGAGGATTGGTCACTTGATTGTTCCGTTGTGATATGGTAATTATTAATACGTCGGGTGGGATACTTCTTGAATGATCATGGGGATACCTCTAGTGGTCAAATGAGGATGGTCCACTTAACTGTGATATTGTGATTATTGGCACACCGGGTGTGATACTTCTTGAGTGATCATGGAGGCGGCTAGGGGATGGTCGACTAGATTGTGTCCAGTTGATTATTGATTACTTACGTTGATATTACATAGAGCTCTATTCGATGCCTAATAGGTGTGTAAAGAGCCCAATAAAAATGAAAGTTTTAAATGGAAATATTTCGAGTTTACAATGATGATTTTATCATGACTACGAGATTATATTTTCCAATAATACAATCATGATTCATAGCTTGATTATTATTATTATTATACGTTGTTATATCGCGATCTATTTAAGTTCTGTAAACTCGATTTTTGATAAATATTTATACATGAGAAAATATAGTAATTATTTTCGAACTTCTCCACTCACTGAACTATTAGCTCATTTATTTTTCCACGATTTTTCTTACAGATAGCAATTGATTCTTGATAGCTTGAGGAACCCGATAATTTCAAAATTATATCCATATGACACATTGAGTGATATGATTCATTTGATAAAGCACAAAGTAATTATTTTGGGCCAATTGCATATTTTTTTCATAAGCATCTGATTTTGGTGCATTTTTAGTCAGCCTTGATGATAGATCTAACATTTAGTCAGCATCTATCATCGTTGCACATCACGTTTCGAGTTCACTATGATGATCTGGGACGATTCGTGTCATATACACAATTAAATTTGGATATCACCTAGCCTTTGTTGGGAATTGAGATCAATTCCTCAATTTGTAGGAAGACATAAAATATAAAGAGATATAGAAAAACTAAGTTCCTATTTGGTTCAGCTACATAAGTTGAATAAAATTTAAGTCAAAGTCACAATTAATTTTAATCGCATATTTGGTGAGTTTCATAACTTTTCAACTATATATTCCATTAACTTTTGTCAAAATCTTCTGAAAAATGATTTTTACGTAAACCAAACGGGGGCTAAAAGAAATATGTTGATTGTCACTTAGTAATTAACCTTTTCTTGGTCTTCTGTTGGGCAAATATTAGTGTTGAATTTGAGGCTCCAATCTTGTGATTTCCGAGCTTAGCTAACCAATCAATCAAATACCACAACCTCCTTCCCAAACACACTTGGTTGCTCCAATCTCTACAGCCCACTAAGGACTAAGGGTGGAAAGNTGTTTTTGAATTTTTGCCTAGAAAAGTGTTATTTTGTCGATGATTTTGGTGACGGTTTTTCATGTACAGAAACTGGTGCCACAATTCAATACTCTGGAATTTTAGTGCTTTTTTTTTTTGTCAAATCTTTAATTTTCAGATTTTAAATGTTTGAATGAAATTATATGATAAATATTGAAGGCTAGGTATTGGATTAAATTTTGTATATGGGGTCGTATAAGGTAGTGGCTTAAGGAAAGTATGAATGATTAATTAATTTGATATGCGTGGTGATTAGTTGGTAAATAATTAAAGGGAGGAAAAGTTAAGAGAAATAGAGATACAAGAATAAATATAGAAGTTGAGGAATTACGCGGTGATTTGCATTAATTTACTTGTCAAGTTTTAATTTGAGTTATTATATCGTTATTTTAGATAGTGACGTGAAAGTTTGGAAATGCTCGTCAATTTAACAAGATTGCTATCCATAGATATGTGAGTGAAAAAACTTAAATATTTTCAAGTATTGATAAACTAATTATACCATTATGTTACGTGATATTATGTAAATTATTTCAACTACTATTATACGTTTTATGCAATTATGTAAATTATTTGTCCAATTACATGGTTATTATGGAAATATTCTTTAATAATGATATATGTGAAATTTCAAAGATTATATGTGTATTATTTGTGAATTAGAATTTGAGACATGTTTTATTGACCACTACTATGGCATCGAGACATGCGATTGTGTTGGTCGCAAGTGAGACTTCTCAGATGATCGCAAGGGTAGTTAGAGGAAATTTTGGTAATCACGGGAGGATTGATCACTTGATTGTTCCGTTGTGATATGGTAATTATTGATACATCGGGTGGGATACTTCTTGGGTGATCATGGGGATACCTCTAGTGGTCAAAGGAGGATGGTCCACTTGACTGTGATATTGTGATTATTGGCACACCGGGTGTGATACTTCTTGAGTGATCATGGAGGCATCTGATTTTGGTGCATTTTTAGTCAGCCTTGATGGTAGATCTAACATTTAGCCAGCATCTATCATCGTTGCACGTCACGTTTCGAGTTCACTATGATGATCCGGGACGATTCATGTCATATACATAGTTAAATTTGGATATCACCTAGCCTTTGTTGGGAATTGAGATCAATTCCTCAATTTGTAGGAAGACATAAAATATAAAGAGATCTAGAAAAACTAAGTTCCTATTTGGTTTTTGATAGTTTTTCAGTTTGGGTATGGTAGACTTCAGTCCAAAGTTGGTGAGTCAGTTTGGATTTCGAGTTTTGCAATCAACTTGATTCAATCCAAACTGACCTCACACACAATTAAACAAATTTTCTTTCTAAGATTCAATCGTTTAAACCTAAATCAAAACCTAAAAATGACAGACGCAAAAATTAGAGACGATCATATCTCTCTTTCACCCATTGATCTGCCTCATCAGCCCGCTCCCCGTCACACTCATGCATTCCTGCCTAATTTCAAGTTCATCAAATACCAGTCTCTCTCTATATATATACTGTAGCATTATTTTCTTTGGTTAGTTATTTGAAAATTATATACTTTACGCGTTTCTCATCCGATTCTTTCTAGTGAAATATTGCTTCATCTAATCTGTTTCTAATGCAATAGTTAGAATTTCGAATTTCTAGTTTTGAGTTCAAATGTCCAACAAAAAAATTCTGATCCAAACATCAAATTGCAAACCCAAATCTATCCAATTACCAAAGCAATTACCAACATGTAAAAAGACCGTTAATTTCAAATATGGATCAAGATTCCAAACAGTAGTAGGTAATCTGACATCAATATTTTTTTAACCCTTTAACGGCAACATTCGTTGTTTGTCTCTGTCAACTATTCAAATTTAACTTTATGATATTTTTAAAAGGTACAATTTCAAAATTGGTCCTCAATCTATTGACTTAGGAGCAAATTGGTATTAAACTTTTAAAAGTTGAAAAATATGGTCAATAATATTTATTATAATTGCACAATTAATCTCCAAAACCGAAAGCGTTAGATATATTCCTAAATTATCAAAATGGATTTCTAAGATATATTCCTCAATATAAATTTCTAGGCATCAACTTAAGTTAATAAGTAACTACTCGATGGGTTGACTCAGGAGGGAATTCAGTATCGGATTACAAGTCGGGCTAATACGGAAAAAAAAAAAAAAATTTACACATGAAATTTTTTTTTTTAACATAAAAAAAAATTCTACCAAAAATAATTCAGTATGTTGAATAGAGTCAATTTGTGCTAAGTATGCGTGTTGGGCTAGGCTCATTGGTCAACAAGCCAAGGTTAGAGGAGCTTGCATATCAAAAGGAGAGATTGATTGGTATAGGGTTGCGCCTTAATATGTTGCATTTTTGTAGCTTACGGCATACATTTTGTTGGATGTTGACTTAACATCGAGCCAACTTGCAAAGCAGCCTTACTTAGCTTAAGCATGGTTCGCAAGGCAAATCCTAAGCTCAAGTCGCTGATAGTCCCATGCTTCGCGAGCTGCTCGGCTCGATCACCATGACGGTTATAAAGTAAAAGTTTAACTTCACAAAATTAAACATATAAATATATGTCAGTATTTAATATACAGTAACAGTTTTCGTCATTTGGGATAGATTGAGAAATTATATCTAAATACTGGAGACCAACTAACTACGATTTAAACGTAGCGATGCAATTCAATACTAGAGCAATAGCCTAGGGACCAGTGGTGAAATTTACTCTTTAAAATGTAATGGTTTTCTTGAACACTGCACCCCTTTCTCTCTTTAAGCCCCTTGTCTGTTACTTTTTCCTTCCGTTACAAATTCAAGAATTTAAATTTTCCTCCTATTTTTCTATGATTTTGCCATTTTCTTCTATTGAAGCTTTGGAAAATGGGTGGTTGTTTAAGCAAGAAGAGCACCAGTGCTTCTTCTCCTAATGCACTTCTAAAGCCACCTGAAGAAGTTAAATCTGATACCCAAGTGGAGAAGAAGAAGGCAGAAGAAGAAACTGTAAAGAAAGAGATTTTTATCATAAAACACAGGAAGAGCCATGAAATCGAAAGGCGGTTTGAAGATGAAGAAAACAAAGCCAAGAATGGTGAATTGGTGAATAGTTATGGGATTATGGGAGCAGCACCAGTGAGGACTTCAAGTTGCACAAAAGAAGAGTTGGATGCCATTTTAATACAATGTGGTAGGCTTAGCCGGAGTTCATCTACAGGGAAGGCTGCAATTTCGGGTTCCGTTGGATCGTCTGAAAATGGTATTAGTAATCTTCAGAACGGGAGAAAATGTATTGGTTCTAAGAGGAGTTTTGATTTTGACAATGAGAATGGTAGGGAGGGACAAAGTACTGATGATAAAAATGTTGTTAATGGTGATGATAGTGGAATGGTAGGAGAGAGAGAGAGCCGCCATAGACGCCGGCCCAGCCAGGCCGCGGAGGCTGGGTCCTCATCTCAGGGGGGGAGGAGGAGGAGGACGCCGAGTAGAGAAAGGAACCAGGCGGAGCAGAAGCCACGATCGGGCAGTAGAGAAAGAGACGGCAGTGGCAGTGGTGGAAGGAGGGTCAGTAGATCTCCTGGTCGAAGATCTGAATCTCCAATTACTAGTTCTAGTTGTGTTAATTCCTCGTCTGCCAATGCGAATGGTGATAGAGGCAGCCGGCCTGGTAAAATGGTTTCGGTGCCTGCTACTGTTTCGCCTTTGGCGATGGATAAGAGTAATAATGCTGGTGGTGGTGAGCCTAATTCAACTACTGCTGTTAAAAGGATCCAAGTGAAGAGGAATGTGGGTGTTGATGGAGCTGCTGGTTCGAGGGCTAGTGCATCTCCTCGTACGCAATCCCCAGCAAGGGCAAATGCTCGAGTTTGTAATGAGAATCAGAACATTAATTCGGGTCAGAACCAACAGCAGCTAGTGTCCTTGAGCCGAAGCAATTCAAGGAAGGCAGAGCATTCTCCTTACAGAAGAAATCCCCTCGGTGAAATCGACACCAATGTCATTGCGGAACACATGCCCTCTTCGCCTGGAATTAAGACAAAGAACAACATTCTGTCACAGGTTTGCACATTTTGAGCCCTAACTGGTTTTATAAAGATTTGCTCATTTTGTCTTGGTTCACTTCTTGATTGAATTGACGTATGGATAATTCTGTGTATAGTCAACAAAAATCGTATTGCTTCTGATACAACTATAAAGTTAAGTGTATAGCACCATCAATCAGATGTCGTGCACACTATACGTTCAAGATCAATAAATTGTAGTGAAAGCGAGTTGTAAAACTGGATGTTGATGGAAAAGAAAGAGATGATTGTGAAATGAATGAGTTACATTCTCTCAGTGAGTGCTGCTTGATATTGATGTCGATTTCAGAGGGGGTCGATATACTAAAAAATCTTTGGGTGCAGTACCACTTTTGTAGGATGTCCATTTTTCGCATTCTCAGTGAGTAATCATTCTCTCAGTCAAATTTACTAATGAATGCTTAGACAACCTTAAACTTATGTTGGGATATATCAATTTTGCTTCAAGATGATTGCCTAGGCATGACTCTCTACGGAATGGCTAATAAATAGATTAAAATGCTTAGGTTGCACAATGGTTGAGTTCTTAATAATATTTGATTCTTTGTAGTCTATCCTATTAAATATGCATAGAACTTTTTTCAGTTCTTTATGATTACATAATGCAGGCTCCTGTGCAGAAGCCAAATGCTGATAATAACAGAAGGGCAAAGTACAAACCTGATAACAGTTTAACGAATGTGAATTGCAAAGCCAAGGAGAGGCCACAGCTGATGGCTGAAGAAACTACAGGAGCATATGGACTTGCAAGTAGTGTTGCACTGAATGTCGTTACTTCAGGAACCGAACAACTCAAACCCCTTGCGAAAACTAGAAGCAGATCCTCTAGGTTATCTCGAGACCTCGACATCAAACTTGAAGAGCTGTCTAATCCTACTCCATCCTATACTGCACTATTGCTAGAAGACATTCATAACTTCCACCAAACAAATAATACGCCCCCTACCTTTTCTCTCCCACCATGTTTGACTAAAGCCTGTTCTATCCTTGAAGCAGTTGCTGACCTCAACTCCACTACTAGTTCAAATTTGTCCAGTACTTTCTCAGACGAAAGAAGAAGAAACCCAGTATCAGAGAACTTTACTAAGCGTGATGGAAAGGACCCCATTGTAAAATCAAAGGTGGCTCTTTATGATGATTTAATGGAGCCAAGCTTTCAAAAATATGTGACTGTGAGGGATACTGTGGGAGGAGAATCAGAACAGCAGGAATCCTCTGGCAGCAACAGTTTTATTAGCAGTGAACGACACCAGGATTCTTCTTCGTGGGAACCTAATTCAGCTGATTCAACTGACGGCTGGAATTCCTCCAGGTCTAATAGCAGGCAGACTGATCGAAGTCCACTGGGATTTCAGAGGCATGCCCTATCTGAAACTACCCAAGATGTCGACTTTACTGGAAAAAACCTGAGCACAAAGATGGATTTTGATTGTCCAATGAAATTGGAAGGAAAGGTCACATAACTCCTGCAACTGCTGCTTCAACCTAAATGTCTGTATTCTCTTATTTCAGCAATGTTTTCATTGACAAGTCTGTGTTTATGTGGTTGCGTAACTTGCAATCTATGCTATCATGTAGTTTCATCAACGAGACAATTTCATTACCTTTTAACTCAAAAGTTTCGAAGTGTATTGGAACAATGTTTAATTTTTGAACCGAATTGTATTTTTGGTTGCTAACTACAACCTTTGCTACGGTTCAATTATTCACTGAATAGTTTGGTTGATAACTAGCTTGTAAATGAGAATGGCTAAATCATTAGTTTTGAGTTACATCTTGAGCAAGCACAGCATATAAACAAAAATTACTGTAGGAATAGAGGAATGCTAGTAAGCAACTGTACATAAAATATATATTTCATTTACAAGTATGTTTTGTTTGGTAGCTGAAATAATGTCCATTGCACGGTATGAAGCTGCATGATACTGCATGAATATACCTTATAAGAGCCACATCAATTCGAAAAATAAACTGAGCTCTTTTAGCACTGTAGATAAGCAGTATGGCTGGCAGCGCTACCTAAAAAATGGAGGTACATAGAAGTGCCAAATGATCACTTTTGAGCTTCTCCGATTCTCACTAATAGCAAGATAATCAACTTCTTTGGCATTCAAAAGTGTGAGAGGTATTAGAGTTGTCTAAGATTAATCGTTTATTATGTATTTGGTTATTCGAAAAATGCATGATATTTTCTTGAAAAAGTAGAGGTTGTCACAGGTTCAGTGACATCAGAGCACAAGGTTTGATAAAATCTTATCAATTTGACTAGTTTACTATCGCATATCCATCGTGAGGTTGCCTTGTAAGTACTTTTATGCCTGTATTCCATATTCCTCGTAAAGGCTACAATGGCCACCTTATGTTCTTTGTCCACATAACAGTAGCCACTATCCTTTCTAACTTCTTTCCTCTATTTTCGGCAATGAACAACTCTTTGATGTGCTCTCATGACATTAGATTTCCAATAAGCTCATGATCATCATGCTTATTCACAAGTCTTGTGTGGTGACTTGTATTTTTGCATGTAGAATAGAATTTGAAATTGTTTCCTCTATATTATACAGAAGTTGGTTTGAATTTCCATGTCAAAAGAGAAATAATTAGCTACCATCTTTGTTCACCTCTATATAGAAACTGCCACTTATACGAATAAATCCATTCGGGGTAACCTACGGGTTTGGAGATGAAATTTTTGTCAACTAACGGCCCTACGGATGAAAACCGTTCAAAGGTCATTCGTGCACACATTTATTAAAAGGTTTGGAATGTAAGTGATAAGATTATAAGGTATGTGATCTGGCGGCACATTTTTTGAAAGGTTTAGGACTTGTGTAGTTAATTTTTTTTCTAAAACTTTTTTATATGCTTGAACAAACTCTTTACTTTTTGCTCTTTATTTTACTTTTTTCCACAATCATTGAGGCCCTGTTCTCTTTGCCGTTTTCGGGTCGTTTTTTGTCTTCAGTTTTCTAAAACAGCGTTCGAAAACGTGTTTTTGAAAAAAAAAAAAAAAATTGTACTAAAAACGCCAAAACAAGAAAAATCTCGTTTTGGGTGTTTTCAGTGTTTTGCACAGTAAAAATTGGAAAACACGCGAAACACCGTTTTTGAGCTTTTGTCCATGGCTTCTCTCTTTTTAACTCAAAGTCCCATCTCTTCTTCTCTCTTACCCCCGCCGCTTCTCTCTTCTCGACGCCGGCGACAGGGCCGGACCTGACTCGAGGTGGAAGAGGCATCTTCTTAAGGCCATGTACGTTTTTCATCGCCTAGAAAAGGAAAAAACACGGAGCCTAAATCAAAACTAACCCTTCGCTCCCAAATCAAAACCCATGGAACCCTAAATCGCAATTGAAGCAAAATGATATTCTGGAATCCACCATCCCCAACTTCATATTGTAATTGAACCCCTAAACCATCCATCTTGAATAAACGTAGATGTTGAATCACAGAAGTCCCGTAACCTAAACTCAAAAGACATGAAGGAGATTACACGAGCCCAACCAATTCCACGCACAGGTGAAGGTAATTCCTAATTGAACAATTTGAAACCATCGCCTAAATTTTCGTTAACTGTTTTGAAGAAGTATGCAATTCTAACTGTTCAATTAATGGAATTGGTTTGTAATTTTGTTGTTGCACGTAGTTCGAGTCAAATTTTTGGAATTTATTTGGTTTTGCATCTAGTTGATGATATGGATTTGGTTTTGCATCTATTTTTCCTTAATTAGTTTGTAATTCTGTTAGACTGAAAATGCATTCTCCAAGGCAGTGAGAGTGTTTGATGAAATGCCTGAAAGGAATGTGGTTTCATGGACCGCAGTTATCTCAGGGTTTGCGAGAAGTGGGTGTCACTCTGAAACTCTCAATCTTTTTGTTCAGATGCTGAGATCAGGTAGTCATTTGGGAATGGTAAGCTGAATGTTATTTCTTAGTGTTGGCATGTATTATCCAAGTTATTTGATATGAATAAGCTACGAAGATGCAGCACTTTTAGATTAATGATTTATTTTGTTAGCTGGAGCACTGTAATTCAAGCCCTCACGAGCTAATATTCAGAGTGTCTATCTACTGATCAATTGGGTGGAAGCCGGGTAGTGGATGATTAATTGTGATGTGTGATTTATGTTTGATTTAATAATGAAAAGTTCCACTTTTAGTGGTGTTTGATTAGAAAAAAGGAAGTATCTTTTGTTCGAAATGTGGTGAATTTTGGAGGAATTAAGAATTTAATGCTTTACCTGTAATTTGGAAGAATATATAAGATTCAATAGGTACTGTCTTAACTCTTGAAAATGTAAGAGGAAGAGATGATTTTTCCTCTTTTTGTTATAATTTCCGGTAGATTTAGTAATGAGCTGCATAGATTGGCGAAAAATGATGAGATAATTTTTCATATTTGTGCTAAATTCTACTAAAATCATTCAAGGAAATGGATCGTTTTCTCTACCTTTAGCAAGGAGCCTTTGTTAGTTGCTGTAACGTGCCAATCCCAACTCGGTTAGGTAATTCATCTCATATTGGTTTATAGATTGACGCTCATCATTTTTATAATCATTTGCTTCACGTTTGATGCAAGTTGGTTGATTTGGTAAATAGTTGATTGTAGATTT